CTCCTCCTGAAAGAGATCCCCAAAGGAAAACTCCTAGGAATATCGTAGCCAAATCCCAGAGTTCCCAGGCCAAGGAGAAAATATTACACGCTTCCAGAAAGAAACAATTCAAGTACTGTGGAAACACAATCAGGATAACACAAGATTTAGCAGCTTCTACATTAAAGGACCGCAGGGCATGGAATATAATATTCCGGAGGGCAAAGGACATAGGATTACAACCAAGAATCACCTACCCAGCAAAACTGAGTACAGTCCTTCAGGGGAAAAAATGGTCATTCAGAAAATTAAATCCTTTGGGTGTGCCAAGCGGATGGGCCACAGATTGTGCAGGCCTGAGGTCTTGAGACCAAGTTGTCCGAGTTTGAAAATTTCTGCTTCCAGTAACTTTTGGTCCCTTCTAACTACCCTGGGACTTTCTCTTTCCTCTTGAAGCCTTGACATACACATGCCTCCGGCCCATCTCTGGTAATGCTAGGAGGCTTGTTTTGGCTATACTCTGTGGTTGATCCTCTTTCCCATTCTCTGGGAGTTCCTCACTGACTTTATTCAGTTCTTGGTTAGACCAAGCTATTTCATGTAGTTTCTCATTGGATTTCTTCGTTATCATTTGGTCTGGCATAATTTTTATTAAGTGTATGGAAGCCAGGCTGTCTGTTTCTGTTCAGGTAACTAATCTTGGCTGGAAGTCACTTTTGGCCAGTATTTCTCCATTACGCAAGTCTTATTAGACTAAATCATTTCTGGACTTTTTTTTGGTCGCCTTGTTGCAGCAATTAATTTACACGGGTTAAACTTCTACATAAAATGATTATAACCTGTACTGATGTCATTTCTATTTTACTCTTCCCATTTTTCATAAGGAATTACTTTTAAAATAATTCAAGATTAAGTGATCCCACTCTAATTCCTCATCATGGTGCAGAGGTGACTATAGGCTCTTGAAAGTGGAGCAAAAACTCTGGCAGCTTCTATATATTATGTTGGAAAGGGTTTATAATGACTGTAGGCAACAGACTAAAATTATTTTCCAAGAACCAGCCTAGCTAAGTATGGAGAGATTTATCATCAGTGTACTAGACCACGACATGAAGCATTTTTTTGGCCAAGGAAACTCAAAGAAAACACAAACTGATCCTCGTTTCCCTGTGGTCCTCCTCTTCTATTTCTATAGTGATGGTGGCTTCTTGAACTCAAGTTATCTAAAACAGAACTCATTATCTTTCCCCCTAAATCCTCCACCCTTTCAAACTACCCTATTACTGTCAAGGCTCTACTATCTTCCTACCTATCCAGGCCCGCAAACAGGATTCAAAAGCAACTCTTCACTCTCGCTCACCTCCTATATCCAATCCGTTGCCAAGGTCTGTTGATTTTACCTTTGTAACATCTCCAGCAAATGCCCCCCTCATCTCCTCTGATATTGCCACCACCTTAGTGTAGACGCCTGGATTACTGCAATAGTCTGATGGCTGGCCTGCCTGACATAAGTCTCTTATCACTTCAGTCCATTCTCTCATCAACTGTTAAAGTGATCATCGTAAAGTGCAAGTCTGACCGTGTCACTCCCCTACTTGGTAAACTCCAGTGGCTCCCTGTCACCTCCAGAATCAAATAGAAAATCCTCTGATAGTCAAAGCCTTTCATAACTTGCACCCCATCTTTCTAGTCTTCTTACATTTTATTCCCAGTCATATTCTCTTCAATCCCGTGACAATGGCCTCCTAGGTGTTCCTCAAACAAGACACTCCATCTCTAAACTCTAGGCATTTTCACTAACTGTTCCCCATGCCTGGAATGCTCTTCCTCCTCATCTCCACCTCCTGACTTCTCTGGCTTCCTTCAAATCCCAGTTAAAATCTCATCTTCTACAGGAGCTTTTCCTGAGCCCTCTTAATTCTAGTATCTTCCCTCTGGTGACTGTTTCCAATTTATCCAATACGTAGACTGTCTATACACAGTTATTTGCATGTTGTGTCCCTTATAGATTATGAGCTCCTCGAGAGCAGGGACTGTGTTTTACCTTTCTTTTATTTCTCCAGTGCTTAACAAAATCCCTAGAACACTGTTTTGTTCAGTTTTTCAATCATGTCCAACTCTTGATGACCCCATGGACCACAGAATGCCAATACCGGACACTGGGTTTTCTTGGCAGAGATACTGGAGTGGTTTGCCATTTCCTCCTCCAGTGGATTAAGGCAAACAGAACTTAAGCAACTTGCCCAACTATTAAGTGTTTAAGTCTAGATTGGAACTCAGGTCTTCCTGACCCAGGCCCAGTGCTCTATCCACTAAGACACCTAGCTGTCCCTGGAACATAGTAGACAGTAGACACTTAATAAATGTTTACTGACTGGCAGAGTGATGGGAATGAAGACAGAGGGTGCTAAGAATCACATAGTTAACCTGACTACTGGTACTTTAAATGTGAGATCCCTGTTCAAATGACTGAGTCCAATGACTTCTAGAGGATCTCATTCTTGTCACTCTTTTTATAAAAGAAACCAGAAGAATGAAGCTGTAGCTAAACAGAAGGATAATTCAAGTAGTCTTTGAAAAGCCAAAGCAAGTTTATGTAACACCATCAGTGCTGAGGATGAAAAGATAGAGAAATTTTAAAAAGAATTCACTAAGACTCTCCAAATTAATTCAACATACCCTGATGCTCTGTGACTTTAATGCCAAGGTAGGAAAAGGTAAGGACGGCAAAACACATATGGGAAAAGTACTGTTCAGAAAGAAGGAAAGAGAGACTTATAAACTCCACAGAAGCCTTTAGATTATGAATACTTTCTTCAGGAAAAGAGTGAGTATACACAGGACATAAAGGGTACCAAATAACACACACACAAAAAGAAATAGATTATACATTAACAATCAGGAAAAGGCTTCTTATTGATGTGGGAGTTATCACTGAATCAGCTGTGTGTATACATCTATCAGACACCTTCATCCTGCCCCCAACTTGCCAAGCAAAGATCACAGGATCATAGATTTAGAGTTGGAAGTTCAAACTGAGTTACTGAATTCAAACCTCTAAATCTTAGAGATTAGAATACTGAGGTGATGTAACTTGGTCAGGGTCACACAGCTAAGTGCCTGAGGCAGAATTCAGTCAGGTCTTCCTGACTCCAAGTTCAATATGCTATACACTACTCCTAAGATCCTATGTAGTAAAAACAAAAAAGAAGAATATAAAAAAAAATTCCCTTGAATAAAAATAAATTAAATATACTCTTATTTGGTAACAAGAAGTACAAAACATTTTACAGCTAAGTTAGAGGAAAGTTCAGGTAACCAGAGGTTCATCATTCTCCTTACTTTGCTATTTTAAAATTGTTTTAATCAAAAACAAAATTATAATACTTGAGTTGGAAAGAAACTCAGAGGCCCTCTGGTCCAAACTGTACTTCAACAAAAATAAACCATACAACATAAGTGGCAGGAATCCATTCATCTTTTGTTTAAAGACTTCCAGTAAGAGGGAACTGGGTTCTTCCCAAAGCACCCCATTTAACCTTTGGATAAATTAGGAAGTATTTCTTTATATCAAATTCAGATTATATATGCCTCTTTGTACCTTCCAACCACTGCTCCTGATTCTACTCTCTAAAGCCAAGCAAAACAAATCTAATTCCTCTTTAACATGACAGCAAAAACTGCTGACAGATTTCAAACCAATAAAAGGAAAAAAATTCTTTAATTAACCATCCAGAAATAGAATGTCATTGGCTCAGGGTTCCTTCCCCACTCCGACAAATCTTGTTGGAGGTTTTCATGTGAATCCTATGCTGTAAATCCTATGCTACAGAGCTACCCACAAAACAAATTTATAACTCTACAATATTACCAATATACTATTTTGAGAAATGGAATAGAAATAGAAACACAACAGAACAGAAAGAAATTTGGGGCAGCTAGGTGACACAGTAGATAGAGCGCCAGGCCTAAAGTCAGCAAGACCTGAGTTCAAATCTGGCTTCAGACACTAGTTATAAGACCCTGGGGAAGTCATTTAACCCAGTTTGCCTCAGTTTCCTCATCTGTAAAATGATCTAGAGAAGAAAATAGCAAACCAGTCCGATATCTTTGCCAAGATAACCCCAAAAGGGGTCATGAAGGCCAGACATTACTGAAAACGACTAAATAACAATCTTGAGAAACATGCAGAATTTGTCAAAATCAATTTATACTGTAATTATAACAAAAAGGGCACTGCTTTAGTACTACAACAATAACTCTGTATAATGTCCTTTTTGTAACAGCTTATTTGAAAATTTATATAATCATATAATAATTTATATAATACATATATTTATATAATTATATATTTTTTTAAGTTATAAGAAAAAAGTACAAGTCAGCTCAATAAAATGGCACACAGCTTCTGTTTTCCTACCAAGAAGATTCCATAAACTATACTATTTTCACTCAGGGTACCCCCACTTGATACTGCTTATAGATTATACAATCTAGAAACACTTTTCATCTCCATCAGCAGGTGTGAATTGTCTCTACCTCTTATTATATACACTGAAGGCTCCTTATTTGTAGTCATGGAACCCTCAAGTAAACTCTTCAAAAATAAACAGGAAGAACCAAAGTCTAGAGCAAAAGTTCTTAATTGAGGATCGGTGAACTTTAAAGGAAAACATTTTGGTAATTGTATTTCGATACTATTGGTTTCCTTTAGAATCACATGTATTTAATTTTATGCCTTTAAAAATATTATTCTAAGGAGTCCTAAGCTTCACAAGACTACCAAAGGGATCTATGAAACAAAAGAAGATTAAAAACTCTTGGCCTAGAGTCACTTCTTAGATTCTGTAAGAACCACACACACCACTCCCATGATTTTCTAAAGCACATTAATTTAGCATAATTCATTAAGACCTTCATTCAGTGGAAATTAGTGTAACTTCTATACAATTGCTTTTCCCTTTAAAAGCTTACATGAATTTTCATCCCTGACCCCATCTGTAAATAATATTTGAAGTTACCATCTTCCAGTCTCCATGTTGTAGATCCATATTTCATCTCTAGGCAGATAAAAATCATAAAATCCTCTGACTTGAGCATTCTAAGGAAAAAAACACACACACACATACAAAAGACTATTAATTTAAAAGATATCAAGCATTTGTAGATTTGTATCTTAAATAGGTATTACCACTGTTTCATTTCACATTTCAGTTTTAATTATTGATAAGTTTTCTGAAAAAACTAATAATAGCAACATGTTCCCACTCCGATTGTAATAATATTGAATATCAATGAACTAACCTTTAAAATTCAGCCTTCACCAAGAGCCTGTGAGTTGGAAGTATAAAGGTCTCAAGAATACATTAAAATCCTATTGTGTTATATTTTTAGGTAGAAGATGTACTGACCTCCCCACTACAACTTTATGTTACCTAATGTTAAGCAGACACTCACCAGGGAAAGCAATCTTTTTACAGCTCTCTAGTCAAGTAACTATCCCACTAACCACAGAGGCTTTTCCAAATCTTTGCATCCCTCCTCAAATCTCCCATTATTCCTTCTCTCTTCACACTCTCAGCAAAACCCTTGCCTCAAATTTCATTGAAAAAAATGAAGCCATTCATTGAAGAGTTCCCTCTCATCTCCCATCAGATGCTTTTGGCCACTCTCTCTTCCTTCATCTCTCAACTCACAGGAAGAAGTCACCCTTCTCCTTACCAAAGTAAGCCCCTTTACATGCACAAGAGATCATACTCCATGCTGTCTTCTTCAGCAGACTGCCCTATCAACTCCACTCTCTCACTTCTCTTCCCTACTATCTCCAAACACATCCAAGTCTTCCTATTCTCAAGAAACCCTCACTTATTCTGGCTACACTTGCTCGCTATTGTCACATGTTTCTCCTCCATTCTGAGGCTAAAATCCTCAAGAAAGCTGTCTACTATTAGAGTTTCCATTTCTTTCCTCTCTTCTGAACTCTCTTCAGTTAAGACCTCATCATTCAACTAAAATTAATCTCTCCAAGGTTTCAGTCGTTGTTCAGTTGCTTTTCAGTCATGTCTGACTCTTCATGACCCCATCTGGGGTTTTCTCGGCAAAGAGATACTGGAGTGGTTTGCCATTTCCTTCTCCAGCTCATTTTACAGATGAGGAAATTGAGGCAAACAGGGGTAAGTGAATTGGCCAAGGTCACATAGCTACTAAATGTCTAGATTTTAATTCAGAAGTCAAGAATCTTCCTGACACTGCACCACCTAGCTGCACTCTCCGAAGTTACCAATGATCTAACTGCCAAGCCTTTTCTCAATCTTCACCCTTCTTGATCTCTCTGAAACTATCAGTCCCCCTCTTCTCCTCAATACTCTCCTCCATTTTGTGAATATTCTTTCCTACTTCTCCTCCTACTCGTCTGACTGCTCCTTCTTAGTCTCCCTTGATGGAGACTAAGGTCAGGCCCACTAGGCATCCCCTAGCGCTTCGTCCTAGTCTCTCTTCTCTTCTTCCTCTATACTGTTTTCCTCGGTTATTTCATTAAGCTCCCATGGATTGAATTATTTCTATACTGACGATTCTGGGGTACAGCTAGGTATCAGAGTAGATACAGTGCCAGGCCTGGAGTCAGGAGGACCTGAGTTCAAATCTGACCCAGACATTTACTGTGGTCCTAAGCAAGTTATTTGGCCTTGTTTGCCTCAGTTCCTCATCTGTGAAATGAGCAGGAGAAGGAAATGGCAAGTCACTCCAGTATCTTTGCTAAGAAGACCCCAAATGGGGTCACAGAGGGTCAGACACAACTGAAACGACTTGACAACAAAAACCAGCCTGATGATTCTCAGATCTCCTTGTCCGGCCCTATCCTCTCTTCTCCTGACTTTTTAGACTCTTATCTCCACTTGCCTTTTGGACACTCTGAACTATGTCTACGTTCTACAGACATCCTCACCTCAACAAATACAAAACGGAACTTGGTATTTTTCGCCTTAAGGCTTCCTTTCACACCATCCTCCCATAAAAACAAGCTAGCAACCCAGGTGTCATTTTCAATTCTCATTTTTTTCCTCACACCCCATATGCATTTCGATGCCAAGTAGTGTTGATTCTACCCTGCCAGTAGTTCTCCAATGCGCCCCTTTCTCTCTCCTGACACTACCATCACCCTAGTGCAGATCCTCATCATCTCATGCTTGGACTACTGAAGCAGCCTGCTATTGGTCCCCCCTGCCCCAAGTCTCTCCCCCCTCTAGTATATCCTTCACTTAGCTGTCACATTGAGCTTCCTGAAGTGTGGATCTGACCATGTCACCACTCCCCACCCCCTGAAACTCAGTAAACTCCAGGGACTCCCTATCAGCTGCAAGATCAAATGTAAAATCCTGTTTGGCTTTTAAAGCCATTTATAATAGCATCCCACCCCCAATCTTTCCAATCACCTTACACCCTCCTCCTTACTGTGACACTGGCCTCCCTGCTGTTAAGACACTCTTGATTCTGGGCATCTTTATTAGCTGTCCGCTGTCCCCCATACATGGAATGTGCTCCCTCCTTATCTCCAACTCTTAGTTTCCCTGGCTTCCTTCAACTCCTAGCTAAATTTCATCTCTCAGAAAAAAACCTTTATCAGTCCCCCTTAAAGCTAATGCCTTCCCTCTGTCCAATTTATTTTGTTCAATTTATCTTGTCTACAGCTTATTTAGGTACAGTTGTTTGCCAGTTGTCTCTGCCATCAGACCACGAGTTCCTTGAAAGAGGGATTGTATTTTTGCCTTTCTTTGTATTCCCAGTACTTAGCACAATGCCTGGCAAACATAACAAACAAAAAATGCCTGGCACTTCAAAAATGCTTCAATATTACTGACTGACTGATGTGGCCAAATTCGGAATTTATTTTGCTTGACTATACATAGTTGTCATAAGGGTTTTTGTCTATATTTTTCAATGAAGGGATGGGGAAATAAGAGGGTAAGAAGCCAGAGCATCATTAATTGGAAAAAAAAAAGTGAAGAAAAATTCATTTTTTTCATAACAAAGAATTTAATAACTCATCATTTGTAGAATTTGTGCTTTTTTTTTCCAGTGCTGGTGGCAAATTTTTGATGTTTTATTCATACACTTTCATGAGCTTGCCCTTGTCATCAAAGGTATGTATCTGGGAGATGGGAGGGGACTATTACCATAGCTTACAGCCATGGAACATGGCCAAATGGAAACAAAACAAATCAGTTCCATGACCTCAGCTTTAGCCACACTGGAATCAAATACCTTAATTATACTTCAAGACAACCACTTATTCACCACACAATGAGAAAAGTATTCTTCATATCCACTAAGCCAGCTTTCAGTTTATTAAGAGCCTACTATCTACTAGGAAGTAAGTATACAAAGTCAAAAATAAAACAGATCCTACTCCGAATAGAATTTACATTCTATCTGGGAAGACAGTATGTACATACTTAAAGGGGATAGGGATAGAGCCCAGACCTGCAATTTCATTGGTATTGAGAACTCCCAAGTGAGGAAACCAATGGAAGCTGGTACCTTTTCTGCAACTTCTTAGAAGAGATGCCTAAATCACTGAGAAATTAAGAAAATGGTATCAGAAATCAGATTTGAACCCCGATTTGCCTGATCTCAAGGTCAGCTCTCTACCCACTACACCACACTGCTTTTCATTGTATACAAAATTAATACAAGGTAATTTTAAGGGGGGAAATCATTAGCAATTGGAGGAATCAAGAAAAGTTTCACTGTAGAAGGCAGTACCTAAGCTAAATTAAGAGGCGGAGGCAAGGATGACAAATCGTATAAAGGCACGAAGACGGAAAATAGAGTGTTGTCCCTGAGAAACATCAAGAAGGTAAATGTGGAGGGCCCCAAGAATAGAAGAAAGCCATTAATGTATAAAAACATTGGACAGGCAGGCTCATGCCAAGTCGTGAAAGGCTTTAAATTCTAAACAGGGATGTTTATATTTGATCCTAGAGGGAATAGGGAGACACTCGAGTTAATACCTATACTTTAGGAAAATCACTGACAACTATTTAATGGAGAGAACACTGGTATTGAAATCAGACTACCTGGGTTCAGGCCTAATTTTAAGCAATAATAGTCTCATAACAGCTACCAATGTACATAGTACTTTGAAGTTTGCAGAGCGTTTTATAAACATTTCACTTCATCCTTATAATAACCGTGGAACTGAAACTAGGAGAGAGTGACTTGCCTAGCATCATCCAGCTACTAAGTGTATGAGGCAGGATTTGAACCTAAATCTTCCTGAATCCAATTCTAGTGCTCTATCCACTATGATGTGTGATGCTTCCCTACTAGAAGGGAAAGGATTAGATGGAGACACTAGCCCAGCAGTAGGGAACCTGTGGCCTTCTAGGTCCTCAAGTGCAGCCGTTTGGCTGAATCCAAACTTTATAGAACAAATCCCCTTACTAAAAGGATTTGTTGTATGAAACCTGGACCCAGTCAAAAGGCTGCACCCAAGGAACCAGAGGGCCACATGTAGCCTCAAGGCAGCAGGTTCCCCACCTCTGCACTAGGCTAAACCAGAAATACCAAATAGTACTATTCTGGCCTCAGCTGATTAAAATTTTCCAAAACTAGCTTTCCAGACTAGCCATAATATGTTAATATTTCTGTGTTCCTGCCACCAGGGAATAAGGCAAAAGTACAAAAGAACACATTTACTTAGACTCACAGGAAGTTAGACCTAGAAAGGCCCTCAAAGGTCATTTAGTTCAGCACAACATCCTAACTAACATCTACAAAAAACAGTAGCAAAAATAACACATTACCTCAACAACCACATTGTACACTCCTTAAGGGCAAGAATTATGTCTTATTCATCCTTATATAACCCATGCTCAGCACCAAGAGTGTACGCTTTTAAAATGTTTATAAATGACAGCACTCCTACAAATAACAGGAAAGGATCTCCTGAATACTAAGAGAAACTGCTAGTAACCAATAGTTGTTATACATCAATCCTACCCTCAGGATCGAGACAATACTAGGGGAACACCTTGGGCGCTCAAAATGTTTGATGATGCAGAAAGAGGGAAGGGAAGACACTTTTCAACCTTTTGCTATATGGCTTTTGACCTCATCCACTCGACTGAAACTGCTCTCTCTAAAATTAAGAACATTCTCCTAATTGCAAAATATGATAGTCTTTTCTCAGTCCTCACCCTTCTCACCTAACTTGTTGTATTTGACCCTGATGATCATCCTCTCTTCCAAGATACTCTCTTCTCTTAGTTTTGGTGACTCTAACTGGTTTTTCTTCTACGACTGAATGGTCCGTCACTTACTCATCCATATGAAGGGCCCCAACTACAGGTATTTCTCGAAGTATATCCTCATTTTCTCTTTTCTCTCTCATAGCTTTAGTCTTACATCACCAATCACCCACTGGCCATCTCAAATTGGATGTTCTGGAAAAATCTCAGATACAACATGTCTAAAACAGAGTTCATTTCCCATTCTGCATGCCACCCCCCCCAACTCTATTTCCAAATTTCCCTGTTTTTCTAAGAGGCACCACTATCCTTCCAGTCTCCCAGATTCATTACCTCAGCATTATCCTCAGCAATTCACTCTTCCTTACTGCCGCATAAACTGCCAAATCTTGCCATTTCAACCATCACATACATCACTCTTCTCCCTACTCACATAGCTACCACCTAGTTCAATCCCTCATCACCTCTTGCCTACATTATTCCAACAGTTTACTGCCTGTAGAATAAAATTTAAACTCCTCCGTTTAGTTTTTTAAGCCCTTCATAACAAGGGCTTAATCTCATCTTTCCATCATCACTGGACATCCTCCTCCCTCACTATGCAATTGGGGAAACTGGCCTTCTCCTCACTTGCTGACACACGGACACCTGTCTCCCTGCCTTGGCCATACTCCAAGCCCAACTGTCCTCCCTCGCCACCTCTGCTTCACAGAGTCCCCTTTTCCTTCAAGATGCAGCGCCAGCATCACCTTCTACACGAATCCCTCCCTGATTGCCTCAACTGCTAGGGCCCTATGTTCCACACCACCAAACTACCCTGTATTTTCTTTACATTTACTCCCTCATCCTCTCCAGCAGGAATCGTTTCATTTCCACTTCTTGTATCCCCAGCACAGCTGCAAGCATAAAGCAGCCATTTGACAAATGCTGGCTAACTGAAAAAAGACAATAAAACTTCTCCCTGTGAAATCTCCCTAAATCGGGAGTTAAATCCTAATTTCTTAACCTGCAGTCTGGGGAGTTTGGGTTAAAAAAAGCTATAGATATAACGTGTGTGGCTACAGGCACGTGTACGTATGTGTGCGTAAATAAAATGTATTTCAATAGAATTAATTTCCTTTTCAATCCTATAATTTTATTTTATGCATTCAAATCCATTACTGGGAAGGGGTCGCAGGCTCTGCCGGCCTGCCAGAAAGGACCCCGACACAAACAAGGGGAAGGACTGGCTGCCCTTCGGGGGGCCGGGGCCTGGGCCCACCGTCCCGCAGAGCACGGGGAAGACGACCCCGCCCCGGGCTGTGGTTACCTACCTTGTAGCCGCCCCAGACCAGCATGTGCCGCCCGTCGCTCACCGCGACGTGGCCGCTGCGCTCGGCCGGCGCGGCCGCCTCCAGAAGCTCCAGGCTCTCCCGGTCCGCGGGCCCCGGCGGCGGCTCCGCCACCTGCAGCTCCTCCTCCTCTCCATCAGCCATTTTGGTTCGTTCTCTATTCAAGTAGCTCCGACTGGCTCCGGCCCCTGGGAGAGGGAAAACAAACCCACCCGGGGGCCGGCCTTGCCGCCGCCCGCCCGGCCCCGGAGTCGCGTCAACTTCGACCGGGGCCCCCGCGGGCCGGCCGGCGGCCTCTGCCGTGGGCTCCGATGTCAGCGGGAAGCAGCCGGGGCCGCACGGTCCCAGGAGGGCTAGGCCCCGAAGCCCCGGGGCCGGCCACGGCTCGGCCTGCTTCGCTTCGGGCTACCTCGCCCAGGCCGCTAACTGGACGGCACCGGCCAGAGGCAAGAGCCCGGCCTGGCCCGGGCTCGCCGCCCCGCAAGAACTGACCCCGGCCCGAGCCTGGGCTTCCGCCGCACAGCCTCTTGTTTATACCTCGGAGCGGAAAGCGTCGGCTCTCCCGGGGCGGACCCTGGACTCAGGGGCGGAAGCCTGGCAAGGCCGTGAGCGCCCCCGAGGGGCGGTCCTCCAGGTCTTCTGGGAGCCTAGAGAAGCCTGTTAACTACAAACCAGAGACCCCCCGGGGCCGTCCTAGAGCCAGCAAGGTGAACTTGTGACCAGAGTGCGAGCTGGGGAAGGGGCAACCCAGGGTGCGGGGAACCTACGGCTGAAGGGCGGGCTACCTCCGGGATTTCTAACTAGACTTTGGAGAGGAAAAGAAAAAGGGGTGGGAAACCACCTGCGGAGCACGTAATGAGAGCCCGCCGTGTGGAAGGCACCGGCCGGTATTCTGGCACAGAAACACTACAGGCCTTGCAGGCAATTAGGTACAAATAGGACAAATTGGAGATAATAACCGGAGGTGTTTTATCTTTGGTACTGCGTTAAAAAATGCAAATGGAATGTTGGTCACCAACGTTTACTGACTGAAACCTGAGTTTTCCTGTAAAGTATGATATAATCAAGTGTATGGTCTGGTTGGGAGAAGAGAGCAAGGTTGTGGAAAGTTGGTAGTTGGTTTGTTCTTTCCTACTGTATTAAGTCCTAGGGGAGGAAAGGAAATTAGATTTATGTAACACCTCCTATATTCAAAGGGCTTTACAAATATTTCATTTCCACCTCAGGGGAGAGGTAGGTACTGTTAGTATCCCTATTTTTCAATTAAGGACACTGCAGCAAATAGCTATTAAGTAACTTCCTCTGATGAGGATGGGAGCTAAAAGGAAAAGAAAAAGGGAAAACCCTGGACTTTTCCACTTGGCCAAATCTCTGCCATTTGCCTGAGGCTATAATCCCATCAACTAGCCTTTCTTTGTGGCTACACCTGTGTGGGACAGTGACCCTAACCCAAATGAAACTCAGAGACTTCTCAAGGTGGAAAGCAAAGGTTACCTTTATTACAATCTGGAGAGATGCCTGTCTGCTCCTTCCATACACCTGGAAAGAGAGAGACCTAGTAACAGGGGCCGCCTTATGAAAGCAAATCTCCGCCCACCACGCAAACAAGTCTCCACCTCCCACTATCCCTTACCCCTTTAACTGGGGGTGGGCTTACATTCTAAGCTCCAAAGTTTCTTCCTATCCTCTTAACGGGGAGGTGAGGCTTACATTCCAGGGGCGAAATTCAAAAGACAAGGAAAGAGGCCGGAAACCAAGGGCAAACGGCTCAGGTTGGGGGTGGGGCAGGGCTTATTCTTTCTGTTAACAGGGTCTGAGTGGGGGAGGATTTTTAAAGTAATAATCAAGAATTATTTGACCTTTTGAGGAGCCTTCACTTCTGAGAGTTCATTTCTCACACTACCTTCTGAACTCATTACCTTAATTACACTGAGAAGTCTTCACTGGGACATCCCATTCATTTTCATTATTTCTCTTGAGATTCTTGACATCTTTTCCTCCATATGAATTTTGTCACTTTTCCAATTCCATAAAATAATTCTTTGGGTTTTTGTATTGGTATGGCATTGAATAAATTAATTTAGGTAGCATATATTATAATTGTTATTATATTGGCACATTTTACCCTTGAGTAGTATGTGTTTCAAATCATTTAGATCTATATTTCTGTAAAAGAGGGAAAGGCACAACAGTATTTGTTAAGGGCCTACTACATGCCAAGCTCTGAGCTAAGCACTTTAAAAATATTATCTCATTTGTTTGTAGTTTTATTTATATAATTCTTATGTTTATTTCGGAAGGGAGACTGCCAAATATTTTATACATTCTGTAGTAATATTTAATGGAATTTCTTTATCTCTTCATGCTGGGTGTTATTGATATCACCTAGTGTCAACCATTACTGAGTTCATTCTTAGACTAATGAAATTAGGCTGCAATATGAATGTTTATTTCTCTCAAAGCTTGCGGAACATGCATAAGAGATATGCATGGGAGTTCATCATGTAAATGAGCTCAAAAATGGACAAAGTGCATTTTTCTTATCTTCAGAGCAATTCCCTCTCACAAATCCCTACCTTCCTGGCTCAGGATGCCAATGTCACCCAAAATTATAGTCTCCAAATGTATAACCATGATACGAGAAAGGAATTTTCTTTTTTTTCTTTTTTTTATTTTATTAATTTATTTTGATTTATCAACAATCACTTCCATATGCTTTTGAGTTGAAAATTTTTCTTCCCCTTCCTCGCCCCCACCCTCCCCAAGACAGCACACAATCTAATATAGGCTTTACATTTACATACCCATGAAACATATTTTCACATTAGTGAAGTTGTAAGTAAAAATTAAAACCAATAGGAGGAACCATCAGAAAGATGAAACAAAACTCAACAGAAGGTAAAAATAAATGATAGCGATTCAACTTCCATAGTTCTTTCTTTGGATGTGGACAGCATTTTCCATCCTGAGGCCTCTGGAGATGTCTTAGATCCTTGTAATGCTAAGAAGGGTTCAGTTTAACAATATTAGTCATTGCATAATGTGGCTGTTATTGTGTACAGAGTCCTCTTGGTTCGGCTCACTTCACTCAGCATCAGACCTGAATGGAATGTAATGAAGACCTCCCATAAAACCTAAACTCATAAGATAAAAGGAACTCAGGAATTTCACAGGGGTTTGTAGAATAAGGACATTGCAAGATAACCACATCTGCTTGTCTGCTACTGTCACCAGGAAGAGTTTATCGAGTCTAGAATGTGCCCTCAAGGCCTGTAACTATGGGCTAAGAGGAAAGGGGTTAGGGAGGGGAGTTGCAATAGGGGCCTATAAAAAAACCTGCTGTATCTATATTCGGCACGGCCCTGACACAGAGGTTTTTCAGTGCAGGTCGCCCTTTCTCGCGAGATCATAATAAAAATTCCTTTCTGCCTTCCACCTGGAGAAGCCTCTGAATTTATTGGAAATAAGGATAGCTGTCCCACACAGACCATATAAGCAAGAAAGGAATTTCTTAAGTGAATAGATTGTAAATACAATAAGATAGGAGAAAGTTGAAGTGTCAATTGAAATTATAGATGTAGGATATCTGTGTTTACTATAGCATATGTCCGTTAAATACCAAGTTTAAAAAATTCCCATTATTCAAGGTAGTGTCTGGGTCCAGGCACTTTAGTGGTCATAAACAGAAGAATGCTCTTGATCAGCTTTAGCTGTTGACACAGGAAAGGACATTCTGGGTTCGCTCAGAGAGCAGAGCAATGTATGTTCAAAGCACTGAAAGCATTATGGTAGATTAAGCCCACAGTGGGCCAAAATGTCTCTCCTGATTGGCCAATGTACGTTTTAGGCCTTTCTCAGGTGTTGGGATTCAAAATGGTTTGGGGAGGGGTCTACAATAGAAATGCTGATGATTTGTGTAGATTTATTTTATATCCTGAAAGTTTGTTGAAGCTATTGATTGAATTAATTTTTTTACTTGAATCTTTAGGATTCTTTTAAGTAAACCATCATGTCATCTGCAAAAAGTGATGATTTTATTTCTTTACTTTGTTATTCTCTATTTGGTTATCCTTTATTTTGGCTATTCTTTCAATTCCTTTTTCTTATTTTATTGTTAAATGTTAACAATAGACATCCTAGTTTCACCCTTGAATTTATTACCCATTGATTCTGCTGTACAAAAGCCTTATATAGCTAGGTGTCAATTAGTGCAAATCATGAACTGCCCAGAGGGCTGTACTATTCAAATATAAACTGCATACTTCCATTGGGCAGGAAACAACCATATTTTGCTTAAGCAGAGATTAATAAATGAAGTATAAATAAGGCAAATTTAAATACATGACCACTTCAATGATATAGTAAAAGTTCCCTTATGTACAAAAATATTTATAGCAGCTCTTTTTACATTGGCAAAAAACTGGAAAAAACAAAATGGATGCCCATCAATTAAAGACTGATTAAATAAGTTGTGTTATATGATCACGAAGGGATATTACTGTGCTGCAAGAAATTAAGAAATAGATGATTTCAAAAGGACATTGAATGGAATGCTGAAATAGTGAAGCCCTCTCAGTGTAGGATAAAAGCTGACCCCGCCCTATATTTCTCAGACACTGCCTTGCTGAGAAAGCAAAGTGTCACAAGTAGGTCACCCAGATTCTATTCCTCCTCAGACCCTCTCCCTAGTTGTTGAAGCAAACCATTCCTTGTTTCTCGCCCTTTTGTGTCCTTGGTGCTGGGGAGAAGTTTCCTCACTTAGACTGTGAGCTCAGAAAGCCTAGCCAATGGGAAGAAGAGCCAGTGGGTGGGTGGGGTTCCCTTAGGGTCTATATAAACTTGCTCTGAGCTATAGGCCCACACACTCCCTCCCTTGGTGACCGCCATCTTAAGCCTCACAGGGTATGTCCTTTCTCATGAGAAAGCAATAAAACTCCTTTTTGCCTTTCTTAAGAAAAGTCTCTAACTGATTATTACAAGGGGGTTCATAAACACACCACACAACATGGAAAAATTTATAGTAGCTGATGCACAGTGAAGAAAAAATTTATACATTAACATCAATATTTTTAAAATGAACAATTTTAAGGAAAATTATAAACTCATGAAGAATAAAATGAACAGAGCCAGGAGAATAGTCATACTGTATAGTCATATCATCTCTGTGATATGTTATAGTTAGATTGCTAATATTTTATTTAATTTTTTTGCATCAGTATTCATTAGGGTTTTTTTTCCCCTCTGTTTTGACTCTCCCTGGTTTTAGGTATTATGAACTCCTCCCTAAACCGTTTTGAACCCCATCACCTGAGAAAGGCCTAAAATCTGGACTGGCCAATCAGGAGAAACACTTAGGCCCACTCTGAGCTTAACCTACCATAATGCCTTTAGTGCTTGGGCATAACAGACATGCTTTGCTTTGCTCTCTGAGTGAATTCAAAATGCTCCTTCCTATGTCAGTAACTACAAGGCCAGATGAAACTGACCAGGAGCTTTCTTCTGTTTACAACTGCCAAGGACAAGGTGCCTTGAACCAGACACTTATCTTAAATAATGGGATTTTTCTTATGTTATATTATGTCATGTTAATGATAAGAGAAACACAGACATCCTGGATCTATAATTTCAATTGACATCTTAACATTCTCTCACTTTATTGTATTTACAGCCTATCTATTAAGAAATTCCTTTCTCATGGTTAACACATATGGAGACTATAATTTTGGTTGACACAGGCATCCTGAGTTGGGATTGCTCTAAGTGTATAAAGGATCTCCTTCAGCTTGTTTACCTCTGAGTTCAGAATTATTTTCTAACTATCATGCATGATTCTCTGCCTTAATGAGAATAAATAAGCACATTATTGCACATGTACAGCCTGATTCTGTTGGTTCCTTGTTCAAACCTTTGGTAAGGTGAACAAACCCTTTGGTAAATGGTTGACCGTATCAAGGTGATATTTGTATAGAAGGAATTTCGTAGAACGCCTTCTTTTCCCATTTTTTCAGTGTTATATTGGAATTAATTATTCTTTTTAAATTCAATTTTATTTTTATTTTCAGTTTTAAATTTTTTCCCTCCTTCTCCTCCCTCCTAGTATACATGTGAAATCATGCAAAACATATTCTCATATTAGCCATGTTTGGGGGGGAAAAAAAAGAAAAAAGAAGAAAGAGAAAAGAATATGCTTCATTTTGCCTTCTGACTCTGTTAGTTTTCTATCTGGAGCTGGATAGAATTCATCATGAGTCCTTTCGAATTGTGATAGAGCATTATGTTATGGGTACAAAGGGTGCCCTAGTGATGGGGTACAGTCCCAAGATGGCCCCCCAAAAAACCCTTCCTTGAACTTAATTTGAACTTTTTTACCTGGTCAAGGAAGTCTAGCAATCTCCTGAGGCTATTCTTATTCCTATCAACTGACCTTTCCTTGTCACCAATACCCAAACTCCCAGTTCTTTGTTACCTGTAGAGGGCCACCCTGAAAGTCAAAGGATGCAGGTAATAACCTGGAGCCTGTCCTAAATCCAGTGGCTACCTAATTCAGGGATATATGGCTCACCACCCTCCTTGTACTGGCTCTTGAGAACAGGATGCTCTTGGAGATTGCTAGGAGGTGAGGAAACCCCTGTTCTGTCTCCTGCAGAACAGGATGCCCTTGGAGATTACAAGGAAGAGAGAAAAAGGGACAGGATAATTCCCTGATTAATGTTCCCAGGAGATAAGGAAACAGCCAGGATAATGTTGCAAGGAGAAATGTGCTTGTTGTTACTTTGGCATTCACATGAGAAAAATTCTCGGTGCTGCCTGTTGGTGAAGATATGTAAAGCTTTGTTGCTTTGTTTGCTGTTACATTGGGGTATATTCCCATGAGTCAAAGACATAAAAACCCTAAGCCTCAGGTGATAAACGGAGCTTGTTCTTGACTTGACTCCCACCTGGCCCGTGTGTGTATCTTTCTCTCTCTCCATACTTGACTGGCAGTTAATCACGGCCATGGACTCAGGTGTCCGTGGCAGTTACCCTAATTAAGTCTAGCCCTCCACTGTGAATTACGGGCCAGATGGCCCCCAGCCACTTCCCATCCTAGATCTTATTAGGATCCCATTCAACCTCCCAGTCACTCCCCTCTGGATCTTCCTTAAACTCCTCCTCCAGTCACCCCAAACTACTTGGCCACTCCTAGATCTCTCCTATTGTCTTTCTATATATAAGATCCATTGTGGCCCCCATATGGGGGCTGAGACTTCCTCATGCCTGCTCACCCTTACAAGCGTTACAAATGTTCAGATTCCTCAAAAGTCTGGCCTATGTGGCTTATCTTTAATAAACCTTGTTTTTAGCTGAAAGAAGGCTTGGGTCAAATTCTTTCACACAGATCCTGCATGTTGTGATTTCAGGGTCCCAGCACCCCTAACATCTAACCATCGACATTAGGATTAAAAGTAATATGAAGGGTTACTTTCCCAAGCCCCCGAGGGGATTTGAGACTCATTCATTAACCCATCCTGTACCTTGAGAGCTTCTCAAGTCCTTTCCCCCTTATCTTGAAATACCATACAACTTGTACCAAACGAATTACCTTTGTCTCCCTTTTCCTGTGTGTGTTCCCTATCCTGTCATTCATCTTCCTCATCCTGTGTCCCTAATCTCCAGCACCCATAAGAAACCCTAAAAATGCATCATCATTCTACAGGCTATATAGCTTTCTGTCTATGTAAGTCTGAGTCTCTTCCTATATCAGGGCCTTTGTTTAGAGCTCCTTGCTAACCCTCAGGCCCGTGAAGCTTTCATGAAATAAAGTTCCCAATGGTTACAGAGAAGATCTAAGTGAATTCTTTTACACCTGAACTAGCTCTCCTAACTCTAAACCTCAACATAAAATGGTACGAAACCTGGGAGTCCAAATATTAATTGGACTCTGCTGATCTCCTGGCCACTGGGATAACAGGTAAGCACCTTTTTCTTTGCTCTCTTCCGCAGATCTTTTGTGCTCCTACCATCTCCCTGGCTGAGAGACCCCTAGAGTGCCAAGATACTGCCAGTTGTGTCTGAAGCTCTACTGACCTCTGGAAGGTCAGTGGGATTGCTGACCCTCATATAGGGGGACACCCTTGTGCTGGGGGGTCGGTCACTTTTTTTTTTCCTCTCAAGTGTTTTGGGATACCAAGACAAGTGAGAGGCTGCCAGGAGACTGTCAGGATGGGAAATTTGGGGAAGGAGACCTCAAAGAAAAATGCCTAGTGTTCCACTGTAACACAGCCTGACCTCAACGTAATCTAGAAAAGTAATTTGTGAAGGGGATTTCTAAACCAGACAATCTCAGTAAGAAATCTGGTCTCCAAAACTTAAAAGGCACCTTGCTCTGTTTGATCGGACTTTTGTTTCCCTACCTCCTGGTTCCCCTCCCTTGTGGGAAGTTGGGGGAGGTGGGTAGATGGGGCCTTTGAGCCTGATTTTCTTTGGGGGTCCATGCACCCTGGTTTTGAGGTTTCATTTTCTAGTACATGCAGCTCAAAATTCCCAGGAGGATGACCATGGAGAACTGAAATGCTTAAGGCTTATCTGATAAGTCTCAAAAGTAAAAGAGACAAGGAACTACAGCTCCTCTCCAGGCAAGACTGGAAGGTATGTAACCCTCCTCTCTCTCCCTGTCCCTTTTCTCACCTTGTAGTTGGGGTTGCTCTCCAAGCAACCTAGGAAGGCCTGACCTCTCAGGTCCCATTAGGTCAGACAACTACAAGGCTGTCTCTCACTCAGCCTGACCACTCAGTCCAGTAGTTTTAAGCCATGGACTTGGGCACACCTGAAGCATAGAAGACAGATCCCCTATCCAGAAGCACATTCCTAATTCTGTCAATTTTTTCAGTTCTCCTGGCGCTAGGGAATTGGGAAAATTGCAAGTGCTCCCTTCCTGATACACCCCATGTACTTCCCTCTATATTCTTGTCTTCACACCCATGCCTACCTGATCTCCCTTCTCTCCTGGCCACCAGATCCTCAAACCTGGATTTGGTGGAACTTCCCTGAAAGTTGCCCCTAGGTTAGAACAGGAAAAAGTTCGCTCTCCAAGACCTTGAAAGCAAAGCTTTGTACCCGGTAAACTTTGTTATTGTGATAAGGCTAATTTAATTGGGTATGTTCTTGCCTTACAAAAAAATGAACTTCCCTTTTGATCCTTAGGAATTTGTTATTATTAAGAATTTTGGTTTTATGGCACTTCGGGAATTGTGATGCTTCAAAGACATTTTACACCAACTTGGTTTTGATAAATTCCAATGTTTAAGGTTTCCAGCTAATTTACTTCATGAAAGTTTAGTGATTAATCCTTTTAACGTCAGGATAAATTGTAAACTTCTTTTTAGAAAGGGAAATGCTAAATTGTTAAATCTTTTTGTGTGATTTTTAGAAGGCCTACTAAATTTTCATTTGCAAGCTAACTTGTTGCAATAACTTGATATCAATAACAATTTTGTTCAAATCTACTGTGAATTTTCTAAGTTTCATTCCTAGGTTTGTTGTGTCCTTGGATGGGCCTTAAATGGGTGCTTTCAGAGAAACAGAGTCAATGGTTTGAGCTGCAGGTACCATAAGAAAGGACACTGGTCTTATGAACGTAGGTTCTGAAAGGTTTAATATGCCCCTCTAAGTTTTTAAGGGGTGGACATAGAAGTGAAAAGGGAAAGCTAAAACATCTTAACAGATTCTGGAAGTTTTGAGATTGATCATTAAGGAGTTTTGAAACAACCTTCTTACAATCTTGTCACTCCCTTTCCCCACTCCCTCTCCCTGAATGAAGAAGGTTTCTCAGTGCGGGGATTCCAAACAGCCCTGGGTTTTTCTGTTAACCCCTTTCATCCCAGATCATATTAGGAAAACAGAGTTTCACAATTACACCCCCACCTGCAAATTCACCTTCCCCCACCTGTTGGAAAGGAAGGAAGGAGAGGGGCAGCAGCTACAGCCTGAAGAATCATCCAGGTTCAGCACAAGCAGCTCTGAGCAGCCTCTACAGTCTTGGGGAGAGAGGGATATGGATCAAGGTAAAGAAGCCAGTCTGCATCTGCACTTGGTAAGCCAGCCTATTTTTCTATCAATAATTTTTATACGATCTGGAAATGCAGTTAATGTCATCTGAAGTTTATTATTTGTGTTACAGCTAAAACAAGTTGGTTATCACTCTTGAAAATTGTAAGAATGTTGATTATTGTTTTAAAGCTGGTAATTGATTACTGTTCATGTGTGTTAGAAAGAAGCAGTCCTCAGGGGTAGTCAAAAAGTACAACCCACAGCAGCCCTACGGGGCTTGTTTGGGTTATAGAGTTCCTAAAGAGTGAACTTGGCTTGCTGAGAATTTTCAAGAATATAGAAATGATCTGTAGTGATTGGCTTTTCCACAAGGGCAAGTTTAAATTTGAGATGCGAGTCCTGGTAAATCTTTGACTAGTGAAACTTGCTATCAGAGGTAAAAACTCATGGGACTATATGAATTGTGTTTTGAATTGTCTGATGGATCATAAAAATCCATCGATAATTAATAGTCAATAATCCACCATCTGAGAGAAATGCTACAAATTACTCAGAGAGAATGTGACTGTTACAGGTGGAGGTCTGCATCTGAGAAGGGGCAGCTAGGTGGTGAGGTAGATAGAGCACTGGCCCTGAAGTCAGGAGGACCCAAGTTCAAATCTGGCCTGAGACCAAACACTTGACACTTAATAGCTGTGTGACCTTGGGCAAGTCACTTAACCCCAATTGAAGAAAGAAAGAAAGAAGAGAGAGAGAGAGAGAGAGAGAGAGAGAGAGAGAGAGAGAGAGAGAGAGAGAGAGAGAGAGAGAGAGAGAAAGAGAGAAAAGCTGAGAGGACGGTCTTAGCCTTAGCCTAAGATGGGATCCTCCTGGCTCTGTTTCCCCATTGTGTTTCTTTGAAAAGTAGTTTCCCAACTGACTACTCCTGAGTGTGGCTGTCAGGTGGAATTAATACTGCATGGTTGGAAAACTATGATGTTTTATCTAATTATGTTCTTGCTTTTCCTTTTCATTCCACATTTCTGTAATCAAAGCAAGCCATCAGTAAAAGATGTGAGCACAATGCAAGTATGTGAAATCTTGCTCTTTTCAATATGAAAGTGTAGTCATCCCACATCCCATACAGTTGGGTAGATTAGTACTCCTACATAGTCATGTGAAAGATTAAATCCTTGGAATAGAAGATTCTTTCTGAATGATATGGGAATAGTTAGACAAAGGAAAAAAGTTTGTGAAACAAAGGTACAGACACAGTGTTGTATCTTTATCTCATAGACTAAGGCTGGGATACATCTGAGCTACTATAATAAAATGTGTGTTTAAGATCTGAGCTATTCAACCTATGATTATATTGCTTTCTATATCTTCAACAACTTAATAAATGAGTATTGGCCTAGTCATCTGCCTGCTACTAAATATATGTCTGTATGGAATAAGGTCCTTAGATGTTTCAAAATGATGTAAGAATAATTGGGTACTGGTACAGCTGATTGAGGGACCTAGCTGTTATTCTATTAATTACTGAAACTAAATCAGAGACATCTTCAGTTTGGGGAAAAGAATTTCAGTGCAATTTTCTTAGAGGGAGGTAACTTATTTTTTCATTAATGGAAAAGTCGATTTCATTTAAAGTCTACTAATATTGTGGAAATAATACCTGTGTATTCTGTGTGTCCTGTGGTACAAACATGTTTTATTGTAAAGAACTGATTGACATGAACTGTTTTGGAATTAATCCTCCCAAGTCCTTTATGTTAATTGGAGTAAAAGTCAGATAACTATTGAACTCAAGGGTAGAAAGCTTCTACCCACAAAAGTGTTGTTACTTATATTTACATGTGTGAGAGATGGCCTGAAGTGCAGTTTCCTCAGGCCTAAGCCCTGAATTGAGTTTCATTTTTCTCAAAAATCCATGTCAACACAGGCAGTTCCTGGTGCGCATACATCTAGTTCCCAAATATGGTATGTTTGCTTCTATTGGGTATTAGTTGCTGTGTTTAGATTGTACGCCTTGAGTACCCAGCCAGTGGGGGAAAGAGGTAAGAGAGTGGGAAGGGGCATTCGTTAGGGCTATAAAACCTTGCTTCTCACAGCCAGCTGCACACTCCCTGGCTGCCGTTTCATAAGCAGCCACAAGGAAATATGATGTGGGTACAAAGGGTGCCCTAGGATTAAAAATAATATTAAGGGTTACTTTCCCAGGCCGCCTGAGGGGATTTGAGGCTCATTCTGTAGCCCATCCTGTACCCTGAGATCCTGTACCTTGAGAGCTTCTCAAGTCCTTTTCCCCTTATCTTGAAATACCATACAACTTGTACCAAAAGAATTGTCTTTGTCTCCCTTTTCCTGTGTTCTCTATCCTGTCATTCATCTTCCTCGTCCTGTGTCCCTGAGCTCCAACTCCCATAAGATACCCTAAAAATACATCATCCTACAGGCTGCCCAGCTTTCTGTCTAGATAAGCCTGGGTCTTTTCCTATATCAGGGCCTTTGTTTAGCTCCTTGCTAACCTCAGGCCCATGGAGCTTTCCTGAAATAAAGCTCCCAAAGGTTACAGAGAAGGTCTAAGTGAATTCTTTGACGCCTGAACCAGCTCTCCCAAATCTAAACCCCAACAATTATATTCATCAGGGTTACTAAGTCTATCAGAGATGATTAGCTTTACATTATTGTTGTTACTATATAAATTGTTCTCCTGGTACTGGTCATTTTACTTTACAACAGTTCATATAAATCTTCCCAGGTTTTTCTGAAACCATCCTGCTTGTAATTTCTTAAAGTTCAATACTATTCCATCAAAATTATACACCACAACTTATTCAGCCATTTCCTAAGTGATGAACATCCCATTAGTTTCCAATTCTTTGCCATAACAAAAAGAGCTGCTATAAATATTTTTGTACACATAGGTTCTTTCCCCTTTTCCTTAATCTCTTTGGGATACAGACCCGGTAGTGGTATTACTGGGTCAAAGGGTGTGCATAGTTTCATAGTGTTGGGAGCATAGTTCCAAATTATTCTCCAGAATGGTTCTAACAGTTCACAATTCCACCAACAGTGCATTAGTGTAGCTATTTTTCCACATCCCCTCCAACATTTGTCGTTTTCCTTTTCTGTCAATTAATTTGATGGGTAGAAAGTGGCACCTCAGATTATTTTGATTTGCACTTCTCTAATTATTAATGAAGTAGGGCATTTTTTCCTTATGACTATTGATAGCTTTGATTTCATTCTCTGAAAACTGCCTGTTAATATTCCTTAACTATTTACCAGTTGGGGAAGCAGCTCTTATTTTTGCATATTTGGTCGAGTTCCTTACACACACATACATACACATACATATTAAAAATAATAGCTTTATCAGACAAATTTGCTGCAAAAATTATTTCCCAGTTTCCTGTTTTTCTTTTAATTTTAGCAGCATTGGTTTTATTTGTGCAAAAACTTTTAAGTTTTATGTAATCAAATTTATCAATTTTACCACCTGGAAGCCTTTCTCTTTTTTGATCATGAACTTTTTCCATAGATCTGACAAATGAATTTATTGATGGATGCTCCCCTAATTTATTTATATAACCTTTTATGTCTAAATCCTTTACCTATTTTGAGCTTATCTTGGTATATGGTATGAGTTGTTAGTCTCTGCCTAGTTTCTGCCAGGCTGCTTTCCAATTTTCCCAGCAGTTTTTGGCAAATAATGAGTTATTTCTCCAACAGCTGGGATCCTTAGGTTTACTAAACATTAGGTTTCTGTGCTCATTTGCTTTTGTATAATGTCTACCTAATCTGTTCCATTGATCAACCACTCTATTTTTTTACAATTTTGAGATTTGGTACTCCTAGGCCTTCTTCCTTTACATTTTTTTTCATTGATTCCCTTGATATTCTTGACCTTTTATTCCTCCAAATAAATTCTGTCATTTTTTCTAACTCCATAAAGCAATTCATTATCAGTAGTTGACTGGCATAGCACTACATAACTAAATTTAGTTAGTATTGTCATTTTTACTATATTGGCTCAGCCTACCAATTAACATTTCTCCAATTATTTAGGTGTTTTTATTTGTGGGAAAATTATTTTTGTAATTATGTTAATATAGTTTCTGTGGGTGGCCTGGCAAGTAGTCTCCTAAGAATTTTATACTGTCTACATTTATCTTAAATGGAATTGCTCTATTTCATCCTGCTGAAGTTTATTGGTAACATAGAGAAATGTTGATGATTTATATGGGTTTATTTTATATCCTGCAACTTTACTAAAGTTGTGAAGGTGGGACCAAGATGGCAGAGTTAAAGGCAAGAACTTGCCTGAGCTCTCCCCAAAACCCCTTCAAATACCTTTGGGAAGTGACTGAAAAAATTCTAGAGCAGCAGTACTCACAAAAAGATGAAGTGAAAAAAATTTCTAGCCCAAGAAAACTCGGAAGGTCATCAGGAAAGGTCTGTTGCACCAGGGTGAGAGAGGAGTGCAGTCCACTGCAGACCCCAGCACAAACAGGGCCCCAGGAAACCAGGAGCAGGCCCCAGAGCAACTGAATCACTGGCAGAAGTGGTGGTTTCCAGACCTCTCAGCCCACAGACACCAAAGTCAACTTAGAATCTGGTCAGCAGGAAAGGTCTGTTACACCCAAGTGATAGTGGAGCACAGTCTAGCACAAGCCACCCCAGCACATCCCCAGCCACAGCAAATCAGAAGCAGATCTGGGGAGTGACTGAATCAGCAGTGGGAGTGGCTACTTCCAGAGCTCTCAGCCAACACACAGTTAGGGGGTTGAACAACTGGTCAGAAGGAGAATTACAGGGGTCTCTGTGCTAGCACTGAGGCAGGACTCTGTTCATTTGCCCATACTTAGATCTGGGTCTCAGTCCTGGGTAGGAATCCAAGGGAGAGGAGGAGCACTAGCATAGGAGAGCTTGTGGCCACAATGGAGGAGGGTCCATCCTCACAATTCTAAGACAGAAAAGAGTGCTTGTGATCGCTCACAGACCAGAGCACAGGTCAGGAGAATAGTAAACATCTCTCCTTAGATCATAACAACTTGG